GTGCATTTATTTTTTGCTGATTTTCATTCACCAGCTTCCTAAAAGTTGAATAAGTACTTGCGCAGTGATGGGAAGGAAGTACACACCCTTCTTAATTACCTGCATTTTCTTAAGGCTGGTTCTTTCCCTCCTAATTAGAAAATAATACATTCTGTAACAGAAGCCTGGAAACATCCTAAATGTCTGTTACTAATGGTTAAATAACTATGATTTAATGGAAGCAGTGTAGTTTAAGACTTGCGAATGTAGATTGTGGAGGTCTGTCACTTGCTGTGTGACCTTGGGCAAGTTACTTAATCTCTCTGGGCCTCAATTGCAAAGATAATAGGTTTTAGGAAGTTTAAATGGATGGCCATTTATCACAAGCTTAGAGCAAAAGTCATCAAACTGGCTATCCACCTGGTTTTGTAAATAAAGTTTTATTGGAACATAGCCACACCTGTTATTACTATTGTCTGTGGCTGCTTTTGCACTATCATGGCAGAGATGAGTAGTTGTGACAGAGACCACCTGTCCTGCAAAGCCTAAAATGTTTGCTGTGTGGCTCTAATAGAAACAATTTGCTGACCCCTGGCCTAGAGCAGTGCCTAGCATATAGCAAGCACCGTAGAGTTATGAAATTTATTACTTCCAGTGATACAGTTATTACTACTATATAACCATCAAAGTGAACCATCTAAATGAGATAAGAAGATCTTCAACTAAAACGATCTCCAAGAGGGAAGTGAAAATCATGCAGGGTACAGAATAACATGCTACCTTTTATGCAGACAGAGAAGGGGGAGACAGTCTTTGGCACACACCCATGCACCAGCACTTGGCTGCATGTGTGTACCATGTCTGGTGACACTTGCGTCATGGGAAAGAAGGCATGGTGGTTTCCGATGTATAGGCTTTTCTACGTTTTGAGTTTTTTGATGATGTGTGTTGTCTTTTCTAGTCAAGTAAAATTGATAATAATATATGCTCGTTATAAAATATTTGAAAAATGTTCCCCTAAAAATATACCAACTTTCAGGGCTTTAGAGCAGACAGCCAAAATTATTTTCAGTCACAAAGCATTTGAACCCCTTACTACGTTTGGAGAACCCCTCACTTTTTGGGTAGAACACAGCTCTTAGAATAGAAGCTTAGGGGCCGGCCCGGTGGCGCACTCGGTAGAGGGTGGCGCTCCCGCCGAGGGTTCGGATCCCATATAGAGACTGGTCTGCTCACTGGTTGAGC